CGGCAGCGACAGCGGCGGCGGCATACTAAGTTAAAAAAATATAGTCAACTAAGTTAGAAAACAGATTGATTGATAGAACAATCAATCAATCAATCAATTTTCTTTTCTACGTAACTAATTATACTTTACTAACTTACAATGATGACAACGATGATGACGCCATGCGACGCCGAGCGAAAACGACGATGCTGGGCGGCGGTGGCGGCGGCGGCATACTAAGTTAAAAAAAATAGTCAACTAAGTTAGAAAATAGATCGATTAATTGATCAATCAATTAATCAATCAATCTCTCTTTTTCGATTAGCTAACTAACTTACGGTGACGACAATAATAACACCAGACGACATCGGACGGAGACAACGCCTGTCGTCGGCAGTAATGGCAGCGATGACATCCTAAGTTGGAAAAATATTCATTAATTATGTTAGAAAAGAGATACGATATATAAATATGTCATTTTAAGGACAAAGATTTGTTCTGGGACACTCTATATGTCTATTATTTTATATTTTAATTTATAATGTAAATGTGTGTTGAGATAATATATTCACAGAAATGCAATTAATGCGGCCTTTCGGTATAATCATACTTCGGTATAATCATAGTAATATGTTTTAGAGATGTTAAATTTAAAATGATGGGACAATGTCTAATCCATCGATAAGAAGAACGCTAAATCACTTAAATCAATGTTTGGAAAATAAGTTTCTTCTAATATATCATATTTTAAAATGATCTATAAGAAATATAAAAAATATAATTAATTTAATAACTTTTTTACTATTATTAGATTTTTAAATGAAATATAAAATATAAGGATGACAATTGATTAATTGTGTATCAGCGATTGCAAATTTTTTATATTATTTCATTTATATAAATTTATATTACTTTTCAATTATGGTAACATTATATGAAAATCTGTAATAAAAGAAAATTAACTTAATTACCTGATGTCATTTTACCAGATTTTGATGTTTTTACGATAACATTTATTGGTTTAAACAAGTTTCTTGCATTCTTGGTCCAAATATATCATTAACTTCCTTTGGTATAATAAATAAAGGTGATAACAAATTTCCATTACACGGTATTGTTGGTTGTATCGTATACGAGTATGTTATTGAGGATATAGATCAATTGCACGATACGCTCTACTTTTTTTACATCTTGATAAAAATTTTTTAGTCCTTTTCCAAGAATGAATTTTCAATTGAGAACCACTTTGATCAGAATTAAAAACATTTGCAGATCCAAGCTATTCGATATGTGATTCCATGAATTTTTTTAAAGAAATCTTCAGTTGATTTTTGTAAGTAAACGGAATTTTCCAGCTCTTTTAATGCTCTTTTAATTACAAATTTCATAATTTTTCCCGATATAATTCGGTGGAACTTCTTGAATTTTGATACCTAATTGTGAGATGCTTTAAATATAAATAAGATTTACATTTTCTATTTCTTCTCTTTCTTGAGCTTGTAAAATCTACCTTTTTAAATCAATATCATGAATCCTGATTCAACAGCTGCAGTAAATTTATCATGTGTAAATTTGATGTAAGATAATTGAGGGGATAGGCAGAATAAAGACATAATTCTTAAGCCTTTTTTCCAGCAATTAGCTTTTTTATATAATATTGATCGTAATACAGAAGTATTGTAATATATAATTTCTTAAAGACATCACATATTAAATTCATTTAATATGTGATGTCTTTAATATCCATTTATGTATAATAAAAAAGTAGCAAGTTATTTTAATTTGTATTAATATCAAGATTTTATAATTATATATAATATCAAGATTATATAATTAGGCTTATTCTATCCATTCCTTCAATTTTTTTGTACGATTTTTATCTAATTGTAATTGTTCTTCTCATCGCATTAATTGATGTTTAGATACTCTTCTAAATTTATTTTGCACTGATTTTAGAGGATGGTTTCTTTTGTTCTTATTTTCTTCATTAATATTCCAATTCCGCCAATCCCAATTCAATCTCGTCTTTTGTAAGAATTGTCAAAGTCTGCGTCATCATTTAAACATTGAGGATAAGAATTTAAATCTTCACTCCATACTTAATTGTTATCTTCAATCATTTTGAAACTATGTAATTTATAAGATTTTTAATAATCAAGATATGTTTCTTTTGTTATTTCCAATCCATTATAATAAAAAACGTTATCCAGCAATGATTTTTGTATGTTCTCTTTTAATTCAACTTTCGCTTCAGTTACTGGTGTGTTTTTTGTTTTGCGTAAGAAAAGAAAAATCTTCTCAAGCCTAGTCAATCGGCAACGATCTAAAAGATCATCCCTGGATAGCCAGGAAGACACCCATGTTCCGAATGTCATGGGTAAATAGGATTCGATACAGCCGCTCCGTCCTAAGAAGCGGTACAGATCACATCGTTATCTGCTAAAAAAATTCTTCTTACAGGTAACTGCCGCCCGAGCATATTGAGGGCGCCACGGAATCACCAACAGTACTACATCATGGCACTCCCCAAGGATGGAGTCTAACTCCCTCTGTCTAACTCGAACACACAATAATAAATAATTCATTCCCAAATAATAATAAATCATTCATCTTAAATTAATTCATCCATACTTGACCCACGAAGAAAGCAAAGATTTGGATTTCTACCCAGAGTATTAGGTGTACAACTTTGCTTCCGCCGTTTTTTTTTCGAAATTCGAGGCTTTATTGTAAAAAACTTGTTATACATTTATGATTCAAAGTATTGTCCATCGCTGGCCACTACTTTCTCCCATCTTTCGGGTAGCGTACGAATCCCGCGTCGAAAAAACTGGTCATCTTTTGAGGCTATCCACGAATCGATCCAATTTTTTACTTCTTCATAAGACCGGAAGTGCTGGTCAGCCAGGCCGTGTGCCATTGATCGAATGCGATTGATCGCCAAGTGATAGTCAGAGAAAGCAACGTCTGGAGAATACGGCGGGTGGGGTAGGACTTCCCATTTCAACGTTTCCAAGTATGTCTTGACCACTTTCGCAACATGGGGTCGAGCATTGTCATGCTGCAAAATCACTTTATCGTGTCTCTCGTTGTATTGCGGCCGTTTGTCTTTCAATGCTCGGCTCAAACGCATCAATTGCGTTCGATATCGATCGCCTGTGATTGTTTCAGTCGGTTTTAACAGTTCATGATACACTACGCCGAGCTGGTCCCACCAAATACAGAGCATGACCTTGGACGTCAAAATCACCGTTCTTGAAGCGTTGAAACCACTCACGACACGTTCTTTCACTAATAGCGGCCTCACCATAAGTATTTGAGAGCATTCGATGAGCCTCAGCCGCAGATTTCTTCATATTGAAGGAAAAAATTAAAACCTCCCGCAAATGACGAGAATTTGGCTCGTAAACTGACATTTTCAATCGGGAATAACTTTATGATGCAGACACAAATCGACTAACGTTTCTATGGGGTTATGTTGACAGATGCCCAAGTTTATTGTATGACGTCTATGATCTATTTATTTCGACCACCACTTACCGCTAAAACCATCTATAGGAAAACCGCGGAAGCAAAGTTGTATACCTAATACTTCCCATGCTTCCATCAGGGCCCGCTCTCGCCGGAGTCAAATACTTATAACTGCGTACATACAATACATATAGATGTATACAAGCATGTTCACTGGTTGGCGCGGCAGGTGCCGAAAGAGCCTACCAGAGAACCAGCTGACAATTTCCACCTTGGGATCGTTAGTTTGCTTCCTTGCGAGTCATTACTGCCTCGCAGAAGGACGCGAAGGCCGTCCAATTCCGAAGAGAGAGCATAATGATCCTTACTACCGCCGAATACGTCCTATCCATAATCAGTCCAGGCCGATTTCCCCAAACAGCACATTCCTTTTCTCTGTCCATGAAAGGCAAAAGAGGAAGGTACGCTGTGTCCAAAAAAGCATCATAATATAAACATACAGAAAAACTCGCCCTGTTTCTCTCTATTTCATAGAGATCCGAAAGTAGTCACGATCAGTCAAGACTTGCATTATCCTGAATGAAAGGCCATTATGCCCTCTCTCTAGCCATGCATCTAAAGACTATTGCATCTCGCACCACAATCCCGGGCACGTCCAGGGGAAGTCCCAAAAGGTATTCGTGCTACAACAGCGTGCAATAATATATTATATATATTATAATACATAATAATACACTGCTTCATGTCATGAAGGATGTCGTACGTGTTTATGACAATGGGCAATTTTGAGACGAGATGGCGTGATCGCTCCTCGCGTGTCGATAACACACGACATACTTAAACGGAACTAGTCTCGCAAATATGCCACCATCTCGTGCGAAACAATACAGGCACAAATAATACGCAACGCAAGTTGCCGCTGTAATTTTATCACATCTCGGCAGATCGTTCTATTTTTCACCGCCACTTGGGTCCATACTAGAGCATCGTACAGGACCATGGATATGGTCATATGCGCGTAGAACCGACACTGAGTGCATCGATATTTGCAGTAATTCTATCTAATACCGCGGCCATCCTGTACGCTTTTGGTAGAAGACCAAAGTATTTCCGAAAAATAATTTTAAAGTTTTTATAACTTTATATAATATAACTATTATAATATTTTTTGCGAATGCTATATCGTGAAATATTATCTCTCCATGCTTTTTTAATATTTTGGGGAGAAGCTCCTATAGGAATCAACAAAATTATACAAATGGTTAAATGTTTATATCCTTCATATTCAAGATAGTTATATGCTTTCCAACAGTCAGACATAATAGTTGAATCAGGTTTGATCCATTTTTGTATTATTGACAACAAATAATGTTTCTGCTAACCAATTAAGTACACATTCGATAAACAATTTTTTGATTCCATGTTTAAAACCGCCAAAACTCCACTGTCCTGTAATAAGTCGACCTCTTTTATATTTACGTTTTTCTAAGTTTTTATTTTTTCATCTATTTTTACAATAGCGCCTTCCCTCCTATTTATATTTCCTCCTATTTATATTTCATTATATTCCTATTGTCTTCTAGCCAATCAAGACAAAGCTATAGAAAAGATTAATTATTCAATTAAATTTTTTTATTTTACATTGCAAATAGAATGTAATATAATAGGGTCCCCTAGTAAACTTTTAGTTTACTAGGGGACCCTTTCGTTAAAAAGTTATTAATAAAAGAAGTTTAAGTTTATTTAAAGAAGTTTAAATTTAAGTTTATTTTTTAAGTTTTTTTTACAGTTTTTTATTCAAAGAAATGTTTCTTTGCTATACGGTTCAAGAAAAATTTTGATTTCAATAACATTTCTTTAATTGAAACATCATTTTTTTAAATAAAAGAAATTTTTTATTTGATTTAAAAACATTATGTTCAAATGAAAGATAACTTTTTTTTAATCGTATGGCAAAGTAACATTTCTTTAAATCGAAGAAATCTTTCTCTAGATATAGGCTCGTGAATCAAGATTTTCTTTGTCAGCAAATCAGTCAATTTTTTCTTCAATAGAAAAGAAACATTTTTGAATGAAAGAAACCTTTCTCTGTGTGGATTCAATGCCGATTATTATTTGTGTACGTACACTATCGCTCATGGAAGTTCAGACACTCGCATAAATTTTATCGAATAATCATTTAAAAAATTTAGACTTTATAAAACAGCAATTGTATTATTTTTGAAATATATTTTGATCACTTGTATGCAATACATACTAACAATTGGAAAAACTTTATAAATTAATTTTAATTTTATATATAAAAAAGTATTGTCTTTACTTCGTATAACATTCATATTATAATTAATAAATTTCCAAAATTCGAACAGAAAACACAAATATGGGCTCACGTTATGGTGTATGTTGCCAGCCTATCTACATAAGTGGGGGATAACAAAAGCTTTATAGAATTTTTAATTCAATTTTGATACATAAAATTAAAAATAATTTATAAAACTTTTGCAATTGCTAGTATGTGTATAAATGATC